CAGATCCAGCATCCACAAGGCGGACAGTGGCTGCAGGGCGCGTGTGGGAGTGACGGCAGCGGCAGCGGCTGTCAAAGAGTCGGCGGGCAGTGGCAGTAAAGGTCAAAAGCAGGCGGTCAAGGACGATATCGAGGACGCCTCCGACAAGAAAGAGGAGAGTCTGGCAGCCCTGCGAGCGCGCTGGGAGCGCCCGCGGTGCACGCGCAGCTCCCAAAAGACCAGCGCAACACCTACAAGGACGCGTCGATCGCCGAGCTGGCCGCTTATGCGAACCTCCTGAGGTACAACATGCAATGCGGCCGCTCGGAGGAGGTGGCAGCGGCGGCCTGGGGCAGCCTCGCCCGCGAAGAAATGGCGGACTGGACCTCCGAGGAACCCAGGGCAACGCTCGCAACGGACCCGCGGCAGGCGCCGCTCTTCGGCGCCTACGCCAGCGAGCACCCGACTCCCAGCGAGGCCGGCATCTCCGATTGAGAACGACCACCTCGGACCCATCGCCAAGACGGCGCGCTTCCGCCTTCCCGAGGAGGTGGGCGACCTTGGCGACGGCGGCCACCAGCGCACCTTCGGCTCCCAGAACTCCGCGGACGCAGCCGCCGCCCCAGGGCGCTGCACACCCCGGCATGGCCAGGGGTTAGGCCCAATGTCGCGTGCTCTGTGCACTGCAACACCTTCGACGGGAGCAGATTCGTCACACCAGTGGGGCGACGGGGTAGGCCCCAAGGCGCAGCCCACCCCTGCAGGGCGAGGGGTTAGGCCCAGTGGTGGCGAGGACGAGTTCAGCGAGTTCGGCAACCACCTGAACGACATCATCTGAACGGGCACGCCGCCAGATAGCGGTATAGACTCGCGATTGAAAGGTTTTGAACATGAGGAGGAGGAGGAAGAGGAGGAGGAGGAGGAGGAGGAGGAGGAAGAGGCGGAGGATGAGGAGGGGGAGGAGGAGGAGGAGGAGGAGAGGAAAAGAGGAGGAGGAGGAGGAGGAGGAGGAGGAGAAAGAGGAGGGGGAGGAGGAGGAGGGGGAGGAGGAGGAGGAGGAGGAGGAGGAGGAGGAGGAGGAGGAGGAGGAGGAAGATGAGGGGGGAGGACACGCTTCGGTTTGTTCGCGGGTTCCCCCACGCTCACGGTCGGGACACTGTTGGACCGCGTGTCGTTCCGCCGGCTCTGGCCCGCCACGCTTCGGCCCGGCACGCCATCCGCGACCCGGTTTCCAGCGCCAGGGTCCCGAGCTTTCCCGAGCCCCCGGCCCCGTGAAGCGGAGCGGCGCGCAACCCGCTCGCAAGGCATGGCGTGTCGCCGCGGCCGCCGCCGCAGCGCGCCAGGCAAGAGGTCCCGTCCTTACACCCTCCCCCTTGCTCCTTCCGCCGTCCCCCATCGGCCTCCTCGACCTCGTTCTCCTCGTCCTCGTCGTCCTCGTCCTCCTCGGCCTCGTCCTCCTCGTCCTCGTCCCCCTCGTCCGTCCCCCGCCGCCCTCTCCTCGTCCTCCTCTCATTGGCCAGGCCAGGTCGTGAAGGCGGAGTGTGCAATCGGTCATACCGCAGGCTACTTCAGCAGGTGGAGGAAGCCCCTGGAGGACGCTGACTCGCAGGCCTCATGCTGGCGCTGACTGTTGGAGCCACATGGCCACGGACACGTCGGTAGGAGCGCTCCAAGCATGAGGTGTCACAAGGTTGCTTACGTTGTCGGGGGCATCGGGGGACTGCCTTCCATCGTGTGCGGGCCTGCGACGGTCGGGTTCGTCATTACGTGTATGTTTTGACGGCGAAGTTGGTTGGGAAGCCGACGTGCAGGGGGAGGCGGACGCCTGCTTCTGGACGAGAGGGTTCATCCCACCAGCATGGGTTGCAATGGAGGTTCCACAGAGTGGCGAGTCCTGGAGCACGACGTGGGATGATTTCACCGAAAGATGTTGTGGGGAGGGCACGCAGGAGCACCCTAGAGCACCCCATATACACACTCGGAGACGCCAGTGGCGGCCCACAGAGTAGGAACCCCACTCTTTGGCGGGTGGGGTGTGGCCTAGCTTGCTTTCTCGACCTCGACGGCGACATGGAGCTGCCTCTTGGATTTGTTTGTGGGGGCTACCTGGGCCACGCCACATAGCTGCCAGGGGAGAGCTGCTGGCATTTCTGCTTGCGTTGCGCGGCACCAGCAGGCATATTATATACACCACGGACAATGAGAGTGCCACTATCGCCTGGCACAACCTGTGTTATTAGCAGTCAGCGGGGCCCGAGAGTGACTTGTGCTGGCAGATCGGCGTGCACTGCGCCGACCACCCCGAGACGCAGTGCACGATGCTCTTCGTCCACCCACACCTCGAGGCTTCGGACGTGCTGCAGGGCAAGGCCCCCAAGCGGCTGGTCCGGGGCAGTGTTATCCATGGCTGACGCTTTTTGCCGCACGCAGAGCTGACGAGCCGAGAGTGCCAGAAATCAGTCGCACGCGAGTTCTCGCCACGGAACACAAGGCCCTCCTTGTCAGAGTGAGGATATTCCAGCAGAGCACCATTGAGACCTTGGCTGTTGAGCAGGAGTATGAGAAGAGTCTAGATCGGAAAGCAGCCCGCCATGCCCGACCTAGACCTCCCGCTCCATTTGTTTGCGTTTTTTCTCGACTCAGCACGAAACTTCTGACACCAATGACAGAAAGTGCAATAGGTGCCAGGGTACTGACACCAAAGCTAAGCGTACGGAGTGGCTAACCTCCTCGTGCTTTGAACTACTCAGTTCATGTGGACGGCTTTTTTATGTGAAACTCCCCCCTGGGCGTGGGCGGCGGGTACAGATCGCAGGGGGCTTTCCCGATCCAAGCCGGAAGTTGAGACATCACGCGGGGCGGGGGGGTGGTTATGTCTAGCGTGCGGATTCGATTAAGCTCAGCAGCTTAAAGAGCTAGCAGAGCCGTGTGTTGGTAGGGTTGGGGGTAATCGGACCGATTACCTCGCTCGGATTTCCAAGGGTCTCTGGCCTAAAGCCCTCAGCAAGGCTGGGCTAGCCAAAAAGCAGAAACCCAGCGTTGAAGATTTATTTCCCCGACGTGGCCGCCACACCCAGAACTCCAGAGCTCCTCCTCTTCCTCCTCGTCGTCTTCCTCCTGATCCTCCTCCTCCTCCGCCTCCTCTTCCTCCTCCTCCTCCTCCTCCTCCTCCTCCTCCTCTTCCCCCTCCTCCCCATTCCCCTCATCCTCGTCCCTCTTGCGCCTCATGTGCCACCATCCGCTTTGGGCCTCATGTGCTCCCATCCGCCTCGCGCGCCCCCCTCCATTCCCCTCACCCTCTTGCCTCATGCGCCGCATGCTGCTTTGGGGTGTGAGCGTCGATGCTCACCAAGCTGGGCATGGGGGCATGGCGGATACCCGCCATCGCAGTTACAGGTAGGCGAGGGCCTCAAAACAGTAACACTATCGTGCTCGTCAGCGTTCTCCACAATAAACGCTCCGCGTTCGTAGGGGGCATTTTGGGATCGCTTGTGATGTTCTGCCTATTGCGAAGGCGTTGCGGCCGGTGTCGCCGACCCTGAAGACGGCGACGACGAGGACGACGAGGATGTTGAGAAACAGTTGGCGGAGGACGCTGGGGAGCAGGAGGGGCGAGGAGGAGCAAGAGGAGGAGGTGCGACGGGGAAGGAGGAGGACGAGGAGAGGGGGGAGAGGGACGAGGAGGGGAAGACGAGAAGGGGGGAAAGCAGGGGGGAGAGCGAGGCGAGCAGGGACGATTTGCAGGAGAAGGACGGCTGACAACGAGGAGGGGCAGCGGTGGGAGAGCAGGAGCGGTTTTGCCGTGTCCTGCGGCTTTTCTTGGCCGCCGAACAGCCCGAGGGGGAGTCGTATCTGCCCCGGGACCACCCCCGGGACCCCCCCCGGGACCCCACCCCTGGGACCCCCCCCCTTGGCGGGGAATGGATCAAAGGGAAGGGGCTTCCCTTCGACTCAACTACAAGGTTGCTCAATTTCCTGTGGCTGGCGCGCTCGAGGAGGAGGGCCCGGTGAAAGTGAGGGGAGCGGCGACGGGCCCAGGGACGGGGGGGGAGCGACGAAGGCGACGACGACAACGGCAACGACCACGACGACGACGACGACGACGAGTCAAACGGAGCAGCCTCCTCCACACGCCGACAGGGTCGGCGGATTTTTTATCGCCCTCTTTTCTGTTTCTCATTTATCGTCCTCCACCTCCTCTGCACCTCGAGCTTTGAAGGGCACAGAATCGAAGGCATGTTTCTGGGCCGTTCTGTGTATGTGCTGAGAACCTCGTATGCGAACTCTGCAGCAACTGGTCAATCCGATGAGGGGGGTTCCACAAAGGGCCTTGCCTTCGGGGATCGGAAGAGATGTCATCTCTTCCTCGGCGGAAGGTCGGCGGAAGCAAAACGAGGCCGACTCCGCAGTCGGAAGCCGGCGGAAGGCCAGCGGGAGGCGGCGGAAGTTCTGGACGCCCGAAATTGGTACGGAAAGAATGGGTATGATGCCCAACAGCAGTTCCTGTTCATTTTGAGCAGGGCTCGCTGTCCGCGCCGCCGCGGCCTGTGTCCATTTGAGACAGGAGGCCGCCCGCCCAACAGCGGCCGCTGTTAGTTCGGGACAACATTTGCTGTTGGGCATTGTACCCATTTTTTCGGTACCCATTTCGGGCGTCCAAAGAAGTAAGAGATGCCCCCCAAGAGATGAATACGTTTTGGGGTTCAGGGTTTCAGGAATCCGACGTGTGTAGTGCTCCTTATTTGGGGTGTTCTCTCTGAGGTATGCGAGCTGCAGCAAGTCCAACGAGACTGGGCGTGCCGGTTTCTCCCAATCGAGCCGACTATCATCCTCGCAGGTCCCAGGGCATTTAGAAAGCCTCGCTACCAGACATCAGCGGCTCGAAGTTGGGTGAGGAAGGATCGCTGTTTAGTTCCTCAATGAATGAATCAATGGATGGACAACTCGAAGTTGGGTGAGGAAGGATCGTTGTTTAGTTCCTGGACAGGGCGAGATTCCGCTGAGAGACCCATGTGACCGAGGTGGCCTACGCCGCGCAGCAGGCAATGATCTTCAACGCCACTGTGCGGCAGAACATCACACTGGCCATGGGCTTTGTTGGCGATTCATGGGCCGACTCAGCTGGTATAGTGCGTCCCGAAAGGCTGAGTGCAAACACGACGGAAGGAACAGTTGGCAGAATGATGATACGAATTTGCACGAAGAGGGGCGGCGAGAAGGAGAGGGAGGACGAGGAAGAGAACGAGGAGGAGGAGGAGGAGGAGGAGGAGGAGCGGCAGGCTAATGGGCGTTGAAGATTATGATCGTTTGGGACTGCTGCGCCTGACGGCAGGCGTATGATCGGATTGGCGCGGGCCTCTTCACGCTGATACAGAGAAGAGACCATCGACAAGCCAAGCAAAAATCCTGACCGTAAAATTAGGTGGAGGACGAGTTGAGACAACGACAGTTGGCCTTGGGGGGGCCCTTGTCGCAACGGCTGGACGCAGGTCGGAAAACTTGTGCGTTTGGACCCCGGGAGGGGTCCGGGGACCGACTTTGAACCGATTGTGAATTGTCCTTCTCTCAACTCGCCCTTCTCCGAATGAACCCTGTGCGACCCCAATTAGGGGAAAACCTATTGCATGGGCGCATCGCTGGGCGCGTCGCTTGGCATTGCTTGGCATTGCTCGGCATTGCTTGGCATTGCTTGGCATTGCTTTTCATGGGTTGGCAGTGCTTGGCATTGCTTAGCACTGCTTGGCATTGCCCAGCATTGCTTGGCATTGCTCTGCATGGGTTTGCATTGCTTGACATTGCTTGGTATTGCTCGGCATTGCTTGGCATTGCTTGGCATTGCTCGGGGCAACCAGTGCCGGTGAAACCGGGACACCCGAGGAACCCAGGGAAACCGAGGAACCTCCGAGGAACGGGCAACGTAACAATAGGAGGCACCAGGGGCGGGGAACCCGAGGAACCCACGGAACCCGAGGATTGTCTGGGAAACAGGCAACGTAATTATAGGAGGCACCAGGGGCGGAGAACCCGAGGAACCAGAAGAGCCGCTAAGCAACAGGCAAAGTAACAATAGGAGGCACCAACCTGTAACCAAGTAAGAACCCCTTAGGCAAGCCTACTTGGGGAAAAGATGTGCACGGCCGTTGCTTCCCCCAATTAGGCTTGCCTAAGGGAGTCTGACTTGGTTAAAGGTTGGCGCCTCCTATTGTTCCCTTGCCCGTTGCTCGGAAGTTCCTCGGGTTCCTCGTGCTCGGAAGTTCCTCGGGTTCCTCGGGTTCCCCGCCCCCGGTGCCTCCTATTGTTACGTTGCCCGTTGCCCGGAGGTTCCTCGGTCGGGTCCCCAGTTCCCTGGGTTCTTCGGGTTCCCAGGTTCCCGCGGTTCCCGCGGGTTCCTCGAGTTCCCCGGTTCCCCAGGTTCGCTGGGATCATCGGGTTCCCCGGGTTCCTTGGGTTCCCCGCCCCCAGTGCCTCGTATTCTCATTTTGCCCGTTCCAAGCAATGCCAAGCATTGCGCCCACGCAATCGGAAGTTTTTCCCTAAATGGGGTCGCGCCGGGTTCATTTGGTCGCCCCCCGGAGCTGGGAAACGCTCTGGCTTTGTTGGCAGAGTAATGCGTGGCCGCGTCGCGTTCAAGTCGTCGGCATGCCCGATCTAGCTGGGATGGTCGTGGCCCGTCGCTTCCACATCCCACGTGCCATTTGCAGTTGTTGTTTGGAACAAGAACCAAGCTGCCTGCGGCAAACCCGCTGCCGCATCAGCGCAGCAGTGCAGCAGGAAGGAGGTTGACATTGAGACCCATTGCACGTAAGTGCCCTGTCTGATTGGCGCAGTTCTTACACACATCCTTCTTGACTGCAGCCTCGTGGTCATCCTCTTCTTTCATAATCTAGGCTTCTGGGTTGGAGACCGTTTAGAGCCGTCTTGGGCGCGATTGCTTTACCGAGCCCTCCCGAACAGGCTCGGGTGAATCATCTTGGGGACGTTTGCGGGTCCTGGTGCCGAGTGGGAGTCCTCGTAGGCCATTTGGACACTGTCCCAAGCCGTCTCGAGACCATGTTGAAGCCTTTGTTGAAAGGTCTTGGAGTCTTGGGTTGGGTCGCCGGACTGCCTTTCGCATGTTGCTGGCATGTCGGGCTGGTGTCTGGCAGTCCTCGAGCCGTAAAGAAGGCCCCAAAGGGGCAGGGAGCAATCCAAGGGGGCGCGTTTTTGATGACGGCGCGTTCGATCAGGGCGGGCTGCCTTGGACCGCTGCAGACACGTACTAGAAAACTAAGAGCCTTTTCAGACATCCCTCTAATTATCACGCTCCTTAATCACGTAATATTGCTTAATATTTCTTCAACTACTTACCACCCCTCCTCTCCAGCTCCCATTCCTCGTCCTTCCCCCTCCTCCCTGCTCCTCCCGATCCTTGTCTTCCTCTTCCCCACCCGATGCCTCGCCAAGATTCATGCTTCCCATCTCGCGGAAACAGCGGATAGGGAAGAAAGGGTGGAAGAGGATGACGAGGTTGATGGCGACGATGATGACGATGACGACAACGAGGGTGAAAAAGAAGACCACGGAGCATGAAAGAAGATGACGGGTCACAATCAGATAGAAAGGAGCAGGAGGAGGAGGCGGAGAAGGAGGAGGACAACCAGGAGGCGGAGGAGAACGATGAAGATGGCATGGCGGCGAGGAGGAGGAGGAGGAGGAGGAGAAGGGCGATGTAGAAGAGGACGAGAAAAGAGAGAGAGAGAGAGACAACAAAAATATCAATGTGGACGAAGAGAGGGGCCGCCACCACCGCTTGCAGGGGCATCGGTGGGCGGCGGCATTGCTCGTACCAGCTGTCTCCCCTGCCTCCTGGCGCCTCCTCCCCTTCCCACCCTCAGTCCTCGCTTCCCTCTTGCACATTACGCATTCCCCTTCTCCTCTCTTACCCCCTCCCTCCCTCCCCCCTCCCGTGCTCTGCCGCCAATCTAGACCTCCATCTCCTCCTCCTCCCCCTCCTCCTCCCCCTCCTCCTCCTCCTCCTCCTTCTCCTCCTCCTCCTCCTCCTCCTCGGCCTCCTCCCCCCCCCTCCAGATCCATCCGCCGCTCTCCCTCGGCACCTCCGGCTCCCCCTCCTCCTCCTCCCCCCTCTTCACGGCCTCTCTCCCAAGGGCGCCATCGAGGGCGCAGAGTGATTCGCACTTCGCGCGTCGCGAATCGGCTCCTCCTCCTCCTCCTCCTCCTTCTCTTCGTCCCCGAGGGGCGGCGCGAGAGCGCGAAGCTATTCGCGCCTCGCGCAGCGCGAAGCGCGAAGTTTGGCGCCCTTGGATATTCATCCGCCGCTCTCCCTATGCACCTCTGGCCTGCCCTCCCAGCCTCTCCCCTCCTCCTCCTCCTCCCTCCTCGGCCTCCGCTCCGCCTCCGCCCCTATTCCTCCTCCTCCTCCTCCTCCTCCTCCGTCTCCTCCTCCTCCTCCTCCTCCTCCTCCCCATCTCCTCCCTCCCCTCCTCCTCCTCCTTCCTCCTCCTTCCTCCTCCTCCTCCTCTCATCCTCCTCCTCCTCCCTCCTCCTCCTCCCCTCCTCCTCCTCCTCCCTCCCTCTCCCTCCCTCCCTCCCTCCCTCCCTCCCTCCCTCCCTCCCTCCCCCTCCCTCCTCCCCCTCCTCTCCTCCTCCTCCTCTCTCCTCCTCCTCCTCCTCCCCTCCTCCTCCTCCTCCTCGCTCCCCCCCCCCCCCCCCCCCCTCCCCCCTCCTCCCCCTCCTTCCGGCCTCCCCACCTCTCCCTCCCCCCTCCTCGACCTCTCCCCTCCGCCCCCCCCCCCCTCTCATCCCTAGCCCACGTTTGCGGGAGGGGCCCGCCGAGGCCCAGGACTTCGTGATCCCGCCGCACATGCAGGAGCAGTGCTCGCTCTTGCCCGTCGTCCTCCCCGACTCAGGAGGAGAACACACACGAACACAAATGAACTTCGATTCCCAGGGGAAGACCCGAAAAGAGGCGGGACGACGATAACTCCGAACAGATTGAAAACATGTACGGGATCCTTGGATTTGTGTCTAATTATTTGGGTGTTCCTGGGCCCCTTCATCGACCTCCTTGCCCTCCTCCTCCTCCTCCTCCTCATCATCATCATCATCATCATCATCATCATCATCATCATCATTATCATGTGCTGCGCCTGTGCCGTTGTAACGTTACAATCAAGGCGTTGAAACAGGAACCACTTTGGGTTCAGGAGAGCCATGTTTTTTTCGGCCCGTTCATTTGACCTAGGTCGGGGCGCCCATTCGTAGCCGAAGCTCGCGCTGGCCAGAAAGGCCTCTTCGTCCCTTATTCAGCGTTTTTTATGGTAGCACGAGGGCTGTACGCCAATTGGGTATTCGTCTCCTCTTCTCCCTGCCATTGGGTATTCGCCTCCTCTCTCCTCCCCCATCCACCCAATGGCAGGGGGCGTGCGCAAGCCGGAGGCATTTGTCCCAGGCGAGGAACGAACGCACACAACATGGTGCATTTCCCTGCGCAAGGCACCGGAAATAAAGCGGTGGAGGAGCATGAGCAGCCGCAGCAGCAGGATAACGATTGTCCATGTCGAGGTCGTTCTTGTAAGCCTGCATATGCTTTGCTCTTGCGCGTGCAGGTGAGCGTGCTCGTGGATTTTATGGGTGAGCGACAGAAGCACGCACGCGTGCGAGAAGCCCCGCGTACATGCGTCAACGCAGGCATGCACACATTCTTGCATGCAGTTGCAGGTTCGTGCAGGCGAGTCCGCGCGTCTTCATACATGCGCTCTGCCGTCCTATGCGACTATACCTGTGAAATGCCACGTCGTTGCTCTCATCTGTAAGATCTATCCGCGTAGTGGTGGCCCAGCTCTTTCCCGGTGGTCGTCCAGGAAACTGGCTCGAGCCGTTTTGGCTCAAGGCATTCCACGTCGAGGCTTTGGTCCAGTTTTTGACCCGGAGCTCCCAAAAGAGCAACCTCGGCAGCAGTTATGATGGTCTTCAGGACGCTCGCGCACAGGGGAGGTGTAACTGGTGCCAGGCGAGTTGGAACGGCTGGGCGTCCTGGCGTCGGGTTTGGCATCCCGCCCACCGCGCAGAGCAAGTTTTCGGAGGGAGGCGCGCAGAAACACTGGCAGCTGGCATGCAAGGCCGCGGCCGCAGCAGGCACTGCAGGACTTCTCCTGTCCCACCCCAGCAGGGACACAGTGTTGGCAGAGAGCGCTTCGGGAGGCGTTCCGCCGTTCACAATGGACAAGCCGAAGTTCGACCAGTCAACGTTCAACGGCCGCTTTTGGGCCATGATCGACGTCATCGACCCGAACCCGCTCTTCCTCTCAAGATCGGATCTCCAGAAGTCCCAGGACATCATCGAGGCCTTCAAGAAGGACCGCACGAGGCCGGCTGGCCTCTCGGACGCGGACATGTGGGCTCACCGGAAGAACGTCGAGGTGAGCATCCATCCCGTCACCGGGGAGGTGCTCTTCCCGTTGGGCAGGATGTCGGCGTTCATCCCCATGAACGTGCCACTGTGCGCTCTCATGCTGATGGCCTCGACGCCCAGCCAAGTGGTCTTCACGCAGTGGCTCAACCAGACGTACAACGTGATGAACAATTATGTGAATCGCTCCGGCGCTACGGTCGACTGGAGCGCGTTACTCGGTTCGTACGCGCTGGCAGTCACAGCGTCTTGCTCCATTGCAATGGGCGCCAAAAAGCTCATCGCAGCCGTGCCTGCGCTTGAGGCGGCGGGCCCATTTGTACCCTACTTGGCGGTGATCTCCGCGGGCAGCGCGAACGTGTCCTTCACACGCTTCGAGGAGTGGAACGGTAAAGGCGTGTCCGTTGTCGACACCGAGGGCAAAGACCTCGGATTGTCGCAAAAGGCTGGGCAGCAGAGCGTCCTTCAGACGGTCATTTCGCGCTCCTGCTTCTTGCCAATCGCACCAATGGTGTTGCCAGTGCTGGCTATGAAGGCCCTGCCTGCTCCCTTGAAGGTGGGGGTCCTGGGTGTCGCCTCCGAGCTCGTGCTGATCACGCTCTGCCTTGGCGGAATGCTTCCGGTCGCGTTGGCCTTGCTGCCCCAGACGATGGAGATCGATCCGAAGAGCTTGGAGCCACAGTTCCACAACCTGAAGGACTCAAAGGGTCAGCCAGTGACAAAAGTTTTCGCCAACAAGGGGTTGTGAGACAGCGCGTGCAGGGGCTGCGTCGGGTTAGTTCCTCATCATCCTCACCCTCATCTCCCTTGTCCCGTGCTCCCTCTACGCACGTTCTCGTGCGAGTTTGCTGCCTGGCGAGCGCCATGCGCGCGGGGAAAAGTCGAATCCCCTTGCAGAGGCTGGCCCCGCGCGTACCCAGCACTCCTTGGCCCACGCCACGGCGACCGATCCCCGAGGAGAGGAGCGAGGAGAGAGAGGCAAGCTGGGCACGCTCGCGCCACATCCCACATCTGGCATCCCAGCCTTCCCACCCGTTCCTGATCTCCTCTGTGTTTCTTCTACCTCCTCCCCCTCCTCCTCCTCCTCCTCCTCCTCCTCCTCCTCCTCCTCCTCCTCCTCCGCCTCCTCCTCCTCCTCCTCCTCCTCCTCCTCCACCCCCCCCTCTCTCTCTCTCCTCCTCTTCCTCCTCCTCCTCCTCCTCCTCCTCCTCCTCCTCCTCCTCTTTCTCCTCCTCCATCCGCCGAGTGGAAAGTTGTAGAGGACATTGATCCCCAAATGGCAGTCGCAGGACTTCACCGACCGAGGGTGGTGCGATCTGCAACGGCTTCTCGTGTGCACCTCGAAGGAGGGAAATGCATGAGCGTAAACTTTCGGAGATGCGCGCGGAGTTCCCCTCTGGTGGCGCGGATCATAAATTGATGAACCCCCTTGGCGGCGCCTCCGACGCCGCCCCTGGCGCGCTCCGTGCGCCAAGGAGGGGGGTCCAACGCCGATCCAAGAAATCCGCTCGGACGTCCGAAAGATCATGCCTGCGCCGTTCATGTCTTTCTTAAGGAGAAGATGGAGCAGGAGGAGACGCAGCAGCAGGGGTGGGCAAAGGAGAGGAAAGGAGGGGACGGCCACGACGAGGGAGGACTCGAATCCAGGTACGTGGCCCTCGCTGGGGCGAGATAGTCGTCCTCTTCTTCCTCTTCCTCCTCCTCATCCTCCTTCTCCTCTCGCCTCCTCCTCCTCCTTCTCCTCCTCCACCCCTACCCTCCACTGCCTCCCACACCCTTCGCAGGTGTCCTCTTCCCCCCTCCTCCCTCACCCTTTCCTCCCATGCTGCACTGTGTTGTGACTCTCCCTTTTTCTTCAGCCCAAGCCCTCCGGTTCCTTCAGCTCCTCCCCTTCTTTTGGTCCCCTTTCCCTCCTCTGGGGGGCATCGGCGCAGGTCTAGGGTCTCGCGTTTACGTGCGACGCGATGGGGAGAACGAG